CCCCGCTGGCTCCGTTGGCCCCAGACCCCGCGACGCTGCAGGCGGGGCCGAGGGCGGGGTCTGCCTTCCCGTGGGGTGTCGCTGGTTTCACCCTTCCCTTAGGCGGAGCAGAGTCGGGGCTGAGGGGAGCGGTGGCCCGGCTCCCCGTAATCAGCTGCAGCCAGGCCCGGCGGGCTGCGGGTGTGAAGTGGCCCCCGCCTGGTCTGCCCGCCGCCGGCCCCTCTCCTCAGGGACGGCGAGCAGCCACTGGCAGCGAGCGGGGCCGGGCGGCGGGGCGCTGCCAGCCGGGCCATGCCGTGTTGGGCGCTGCTCCTCTTTCTCCTCCTCGGCGCGGTGCGGGCCTCAGGTGCAGGTGGGTGCAGCGGGGCTCGCTGCGGTCGCGGCCGGCGGCACAGGGCTGGGGGCTGCCGCCCGGGCTTTGCTTCTCGGTGCTTCTGTCCCCCGACAGGCTTCCGGCCCGGGCGTCAGCGGAAGCCTGTGGCGCGGGGGCCCGGGCTGGGGCGGCCCTGGAGGCGGCTGTGGTGGGGACAGCGGGGCCCGTCCCATGGGTGCGGGAGCCGCAGCACGGGGGACAGCAGTGGGGAGAGCGGGGCTGCCGGCGGGTTTCACCCTTCCCGTGCGTTGGCTGTGCCTGTCCCTCTGAAGGAGGACAAGTCCAGGCTTCTCCTGCCCAGCGCGGGGTTGCTGCTCCTAGAAACGTGCCGTGGTGTGGGCTGCCCCTGGCTCTGCTGCTGGGCACGGGGCTGAGCGTCTGTGAGGGAGCAGATAAAACTTGTGTAGTTTAGCCGGTGGCGGAGGGGTTGGTACGGTGTATGTGTATGTGGCTGTATGTGGTGTGCCACCCGTTTGTCAACTGTACTGGAATCGTAGAATCGAACGAGCTTGGTTGGAAAAGATCTTTGAGTTCGTGTAGTCCAGCTGTTACCCCAGCGCTGCCAAGTCTACCACTAAACCGTGGCACTGAGGGCCTGCGCGGTTTGTGAACATTTACAGGGGCAATGATTCCAACACTTCCCTGGACAGCCTGTTCCAATGCCTGAGCACCCTCTCTGTGAATAAATGGTTCCTGATGTCCAGTCTAAACTTCTGCTGGTGCAGCTTGAGGCCGTTACCTCGTCACTTGTTACTTGAGGGAAAAGACTGACCTGTGCTTCACTACGTCCTCCCTTCAGGTAGCTGTAGAGAGTGATAAGGTCTCCCTGAGCCTTCTCTTCTCCAGACTAAACACCCCCAGTTCCCTCAGCTGCTCCTTGCAAGACTTACTCTCCAGACCGTTCACCAGCTTTGTTGCTCTTCTCTGGGCCTGCTCCAACACCTCAATGTCTGTCTTGTAGTGAGGGGCCCAGAACCGAACACAGAATTTGAGGTGTGGCCTCACCAGTGGTGAGTAGAGGGGGACAGTCACTGCCCTGGTTCTGCTGGCTGCGCTGTGCTGACACAGGCCAGGCTGCTGTTGGCCGCCTTGGCTGCCTGGGCGCAAGCTGCTCATGTTCAGCTCCATCAGTCCCCACCCCCAGGTCCTTTTTCAGTGCGCAGCTTTCCAGCCACTCTTCCCCAGGCCTGGAGCATTGCATGGGGTTGTTGTGGCCCAAGTGCAGGACCTGGCATTTTGCCCTGTTGAACCTCACACCGTTGACGCAGCCTGTCCAGATCCCTCTGCAGAGCCTTTGTGTCCTCCAGCAGGTCAATGTTCCTGCCCAACTTGGTGTTGTCTGCAGACTTACTGAGGGTGCACTTGATCCCCTCACCCAGATTATCAATGAAGATATTAAACAACACTAAAAAACTAGAGTCGACTCTATCTGATTTTGTGAATTGACAGTTTGGGTAGGAATGGATTTAGACTTACATGTAAATGCTTTGCCATAACGGAGGCCCTGAAAGCAAAGCTCTTCAGGTTGGGTCTATGCTGTAGCTGAGGAGTATATAATCCTGGCTTCACTCTGTATGCCAGCAAGTGCAGAAGAGATGCTGTGACATGTCTTGAATGGGGTACGTGTACAGTGTGGTCCTTATTCTATCATGCAAGTACCTCCGTGAGTTCAATGTATCCGCTGTCACCTTTTGTTGTGTTCATCAAGGTCTGGCTGACCAGCCTGTGACTGGTGAGTCCTGTGCAGCTGCCTGGCTGTTTGGGAGCAGCTAACTTACCAGGCTTGCACTCTGTAGATGGACTCAGGAGTCCAAATGCCCATGGGTGGGTTGGGGCAAGCCAGGGGGACTTGCTGCAGTCAGTGTTGCCCAGTCCCATCCCAGCTGCAGTAGGAGGATTTCCTAGGGAGCTGTTCTTGTGTTTGGCTTGTGTGTAGGACCTCCTCCCTCTCTGTTCTCTCTTTTGTAGGCACACCATGTTTCTTCTGGTGTAAATGGTGATGCTACACCTCAAAATCTGAGCCAAAGGAATAGTCAGCAATTGTTGCCTGTCCCCTCCTGGCCACACACTTCTGCTATTAAGATTTTGCAGGTTTTGGTGCTTGCCTGACTATATGAGAAGCCAGTTTAGTACCAGAGAAGGAAAAAGTCCATTAACACACACACACCCCACACCCCCCATTTTACCTCCCTGTCGACTTCCTTTTTTGACAGCAAAATGATGTATTCTCAGGCTGATGCGAGGGAAGGGATCAGAAATTATCCAGCAGCAGGAATGGATGCTGTGAAACCTGATAGCTAGGCCAAGCTGAGCTGCTTTCACTTACTGTAACTTGTGGCTTCACACTCTGCTGTGTGAAAGCTTTGACTTGTGGTTTGAAGAGACAGGAAGTCTCTGCATCAGGAAAAAGGCAATCTGAGTGTTGTTTGGGAGATGCTTTAAAAGAACTGGCTCAGCGAGACCAGCTTCCAGAGGGAAAGGAAGGATGGGGTGTTTCTGCCTTGCCCTGGCTGAGGTGGCTCTGGTTTTTCTAGGATACTTTCATATGTAAGTGCTTTTTTTCTGAAGTGTGTATTTTGTTGCTTTGACTTGCACAAGCTGAAGATCATTACAGAGTACAGTGTGTGATTTCAGCAATTTCAGTAACTTCCCTTGTCAAGTTGAGATGTCTAACTGATATACAGATGGGTTCCCTTGGTGCTCTACAAACCCAGCTCAGTGCAGTAGTAAGTGCCTTGTGGCACGCAGCATCTTGATAGACAACTGCAGAGCCATATATTTGATAACTGGCAGTGTTTTTGAAGCTGGTAGGGGAAATATTCTGGTTTTGAATGCTAATCTAAAGCAGAGTAATCAGTGTGAAGTCCTGATTGAGGGAAACATGGACCAGCTGCCCTCATTCTTCGTTGCTTTTTATTGTTTCTCCCCTCCCCTTTTTTTTTTTTCTGAGGGGAGAAACCCAAAGCCATTGCTTGTGTTTCGTTCTGACAGCTTTCTTGGTGTTTGTAAAATCAGTTTCTATCAAATTACTGATGGTGTGAGATACCTTGCCACATGCCAGACCAGCGGTAAGCGTGCAAGAAAGAATCTGCGTGTCTGGAAAGTGAAAACTTTTCTGAAATGAAGAAAATATGCAGGAGATTAATAGGTTGCATTTACAGGTATAAGGAAACTCAGACAGGTTTGTAGTGCTCAGTGATCCATCTGTAGCCTACAGCAATGTGTGTTTACTTAAGAGCACTACTTAAAAGTAGTGGCTAAGAGGCTAAGGAATTAGTAACATGCCTCATTAAAACTTTGAGAGTTTAACCTGGTTATTTTGTGAATGGACTTAGGGTTTAATGAAACCTCATGAAGATTTGTGTCATCTCTTTCCTGTACATGGAGGATGTTAAGAGCCTGGCATGGTGTCTCTTCCCAAAGATGGCACCATCAGCATCAGTGTGCTGTCCAGTGCTGGGTAACAAAACAGGTGCAGAAATCAAAAAGAAAACACTTTTTAACATTATCCCCATGTTCCCAAAGAAGGCTGGGGACAGAATTTAGCTGAAGTGCTTCATTGTCTGATCTTATTTATGTGAAAAAACCCCAACCGTATTTAGGGGATTATTGTCTTAAGAACAAAAAATGAAATCTTATAATGTGGGATATCATGTTGTGGTTGTCTTTGAGCTTAAGATCTGTTGACCCCATATGTTTGGTGGTGTAAGGGGATCCACTACATAGGCGTATATGAATCAAGTATAGAAGGAAAATCTTCCTCCCTTTTAGGACAGGCAGGCAGTGAAGCCATTGCCCAGCAAGGCCATGCAGGCTCTGTCCTTGGAGGTTCAGGACTTGCCTGGAGAAAGCACTGAGGAGCCAGTTTTAATGCCAGAGCTGACTCTACCTGTGGCAGGGGCTTGGACTAGAGTGCTCCCAGAGGCCCTTCCCACCTGAGCCACTGCAAGGCTGTGGTTACAAGTGTGAAGCTATTTTGGTTTTGAAGGCATTAGATGATTGCATTTTCCTGCCTTCCTCACCTCAGCCTACTGGTGGTAATCATAGTCTCTTGCTTTTGGCTGTCCCAATTCCTTACTGTTGATCTCCATGTCTTTCAGTGTTTTATAGTTCTTCAGCCCACTGTTTTGCCTTGTTTGCTAACATCTCCCTCCAGCTGCTCCCCCACCTCTCATCTGGCTTTCTTTACTTCACCCTCCCACCCCATTTCTCCAGCCTTTGGTTCTCTGCCTTTTGCTCAACTGCCGTTCATCCATCCAACCTTTTCTTCCTCTTTCCCTTCCCCACCCCTCCTTGTTTTTCCTACTCCTCTGCTGCCAGCTCGGTGCCTGGCCTTTGGTGGCCCTCCAGTCCCAGTAGACAGCTTCCTTCTCCACCCTGCTTGGATCAGCAGAGACGCAACCTTTTGCTTTCCACTTCTGTGTTGCTTGCCTCCTGAAAAGCTGCTCAAGCATGACTGCAGTCCTTGTTCACCCCCAGGAGTTCATAGCATGACCAAATTTGGATGGACATTGCTACTAGTAGAAGGCAGGCCTCTAACGGAGGTTTCTGTTCTTTTTTTGCATTGTGAAATCAGTTTCAAAACAGATGAAATTTGGGGCTTGCAAGTGGAATGGTGCTTGTGAATGGCTTGAAAATGCTTCCCTACCCCCTTTCCTGAAAGATTTCAGTGAAGCAACCTCTGTGTTTTCAAGCAAGTTAGCAGGAGGCAGATGGGCAGGAAAAATGTGTTCTGAGAAGTTAACACAGTAAAATGTAAGATGCAGACAATTTAAATAGATGAACTTTTGTAATGGGGTTTATTTTTTTGTACTGGACTTGATACTTTCAGTACTATGTTCTGTATGGAATAAAAGTAGTAAGTTGCATTTGAGTGCTTTTTGTATAGCGGGGACTTAAATGTAGTGATACAAGTGCAGCTAGAAATGGAAGGAGGAAGAATGGTTTGCCTGCGAAGCAATTTAAATATAATATATGGTGAAGGAATTTAGAGATCAGATGTTATCTATAGTGTACTTGAATGTTTCAATAACTGGTTTTATTCCTCTTCTTATTTTAGAATCTTCTCCCCGTTTACCAGCACCAAAGGGTGTGATGATTTATTCCTATAACTTTCGTAGCTTGCTGAGGTGGTCTCCTGTTGAAGTGGATAGAGGCTTGGTGTTATACACAGTCAATTATAAAACGTAAGTAAATAGTTCTGAAAACAACCAAACTGATTTTGTAGTAATCCAGTAACACAATTAGTTAAACCAGCCAAACAAAACCCACCTAGAAATGAACAAACACAGAAAAGATGTCTATTACACATGCTTTTATGTATACCTGAAAGCAGAATCTGAAGCCAAACAATCTCTTAGCCTGGGATATGTCTGCTGAACTGAGAAAAGATTGAAGACCTGAAGTGCACCCAGAAACGTTGCATAGTTTCCTGTGGAATTTTAGCCTTACCAAATTCACTCTTGCTAATTTTAATTTTTTCCAGATCCTGGGGACGTGCAGGTGCTGAAAGGGCTGGGGAATTCAGGTGGCATGAAAGTGGTAGTTTTGTAACATGTTCTTTCATCCCCAAAATTGTCTTAGTGGAAGGGATTGTATTTTAGGTTGTTGCACAGTTCTGCTGGTGCTTTATTTGTCCTTTGTTTTGCATTGCAGAGGGGCCTTCAACAAGTGGGATGAGATGAACTGTACCCGGATCACCCACACTGAATGCAGTCTCCCCTGGTCACTTAAGGAGCGGCGCTGGACTCTTGTTTTGCGCGTGAGGGCTGAGCTGGGGCAAGTGACTTCTGACTGGGTGGAAACAGATCCCTTTGTGGCAGAGAGAAACAGTAAGTGCTGCTTGCTTGTGGTTTAGTGTCTCTCTCTCAAAGATTTCTTCGGGAAAAAACCCAAACCTGTTGTTTGTTGTAGACTTTCTGATTCTATTATGTACAAAAGCCACGTGAGAGAACTGTAGGTGTTCAGTGAACAAAGACCGCAAGGCCCTGGTGTGTTACTTGGAAACTGATAGTACTTAATTCCTCTGAAGTGGGGTTAGCAGTGCCCTTTTTCAGTAAGTATCAAAAGAGAACGAGATGAGTTTCCTTCGGTGGTTGAGCCTTGTAAGAGCTACAACATTACACATACACTCCCTTGATTTGTTGTGGTCTGACTACAAACTACCTGTTTCTGTTGAACAGATCCCTTTTCTAAGAAATATAAACTGTCCTGACTACTGTGTGGAAGGGTTAAGGGTACACATTAAATCCTGTTAAATGTATGAACAAGCATATTGTTGTTCTTTACAAGATCTGCTCTTTGCCTTGCTCTGATTGGTTACAGGATTAGAAGAAAGTAAATGTCAGAGTTTAAAAACACCTCTGAAGTAATACTGAAGCAGAGGAATAGATTTATTAACTCTTTAGTTGGAGTTCTCCCATATCTTGTGAGGAGCAGTGGTAGTCCATGCTGCAGAGTGTGATGCTTTCCCTGGTGACTTCTGTTCTAAATCTTGGAATTTCTCTAGCAGTAAAGAATGCAAGGCTGAGGAATTGCCTAAATCCTGCATTGAAGTCTACAACCAGTGTATCTATACCATCCTTGTGGTACAGGATTGTTCAGGAGTTGGGATCCTTTGAGCTCTGGGCTCATGGGAATGCAAGACAAAGCAGAGGCTTGGTGCGGGAAAGAGGTTTATGCGTCTCTTCCTTGGTGGGGAGGAGGAGGAACATTATGTGGTCATTCCTGTGTGACTGCCCTGGAGATCAGTTCCTAGGCACTGAGACCATTGGCTGCTCAGTCAGGCTGTTCTCTTCCTTTAATGTTTGGTTCAGTCCCACTCGAGAGGGGAGCTTGAGGAATTTGCAAGGACATACAAGGCATTTGCAGTTGTACAGCAACAGGAAGTAGAAAGAAACTGAAATTTCTCTACCAATATAAAGATCCTGGGGGCAATTTTCTCTAAAGCAACAGAGGACAGAGCAGGTTGTGCTGGGAGTTTTGAAGTACAGTGAGTAACGGTTGCATGCAAGGATTGATTTTTACTTTAATAGTTACCCCTCTTTAGTATTCAAGCAGGTGTTAACTACTCTAATGTTTGCATGAGTGGGGTTTTTGAGATCCTGGAGTGCTTTAGAAATGCTGATAAGCTTAACTGCTGAAAGAAGCCAAGATACAACAGCTAGATGACTAGTCACCATATATGACCTGTGATCACACAGGTCTCTGGTATTAGTACTGACAGTACTTTATATACTATTTTTCATGATTTAGACCTCAGAGTACTTGACTAAAGAAAGTTATCATCTTTAACCTATAGGGCAGGTGGAGACCTCAAAGCAAGGAGTGGGAAACTAGTTACTCCTCTTCCAATCTATTGACAAATGTGATCTTTAGTGAATATGGAGTATGTGGCAGGCTAGTTGAAGTTAAAAACAAAGAGGAACAAAATGGTGTCACCATTAACTGCAGATATATTCTAGGGAAAGGTAAGAGGAAACTTTTTAATTGTCTAGTTTCACTTATGCTTTAAAGTCTTTTTCCTTAGGTTTGTAATAAAGTAGGTATCTTAAATGCATAAAGTAGAAGAGAAAATGTTGTATTCCCCGTATTTAGCATGTTTGCTGAGAGTATCAAAGTAAGATTGGAGACAGTACGTGGAGCTGTTCTGCATGCCAGAGATTCACTGCTCTTTTTTTATGTGCAGCTACTATAGGGCCTCCTAAAGTGAACAGTGTGACTGTAAGCTCTGACTCACTTCTCATTAGTGTCACGCCCCCGTTCGGATCTGAAGCAGGATATTCTCTTCAGTATCATGTGTCCTACTGGGAGAATGCAACAAGTTCTATTAAAAAAGTAAGACTTCTCTCTAATGTACTTTGCTCATAATGCCGTTGTGGCTAAGAGGTGCAAGTCAGTCTCTTGGCAAACAGCAGAAATGGAGGAAGAAAACTCTTGTTTTTCCCCCTAGTGCTGAATGTCACCATTTGGTGTTTTGGGAAAAAGTGAATTTGATCTTGGCACAAGCATTACATGCCTTACAGAATTTCAGAACCGTCTTCTTTTCTTCTGTGTGAAACAAAGATTAAATTACATTGCAGATCAAGGGAGAGAATCTGCACATTATCGAAGGTGGCTTTAAGATTCCAAAGGTTGCTTAGGCAATTTGGAAAAACTCTGAAGTATCCTTCCTCCTTTCCTGTGCTGGGCTTGTTTGTGCTGGCAGCTTCAGTAACAGGCTGCTTTGGCCTGATGTCACCCACTCCTAGGGCAGAGAAAGGCAGTTATAGAAACATGCTGGGGCAGCTGGGATGAGGTGTTCATATTGAGACTTAGAGGTGTTGGTCTCGTTGTGTACTTACGCTGCTGTCTGTGGCCCTGATAATTGTGTTCTCGACAGGCCAGCATTGCAGGGGAGGAATTAAGTTACATTTAAATAAAAATAAAAATGAAAAAAAGAGAAGATTCATAATAATGTCATTCTCAAGTCAAATGTTAAAAACAGAAGCAGAAAAAAATAATTTCTTTTAAAAACCCCTTTGTTTCAGGCTGAAAAATGCCTCCACTTCCTTCCTCTCTTGCACTAATGTGTATTTTTCTGACACACCTAAAATACCTTCATGTTTGAGATTCAGACAAGAGGTTACTCTTGTATGCTTCTGTAGGCCTCCCTGAGGCCCTTCTCCTAGCCCCTCACAGGTTAAAAATAACCAAAAGACTATGCTGGCCATGTAGAGACTGGAGGTTTTGCACTGCCCATCAGCTGTTTTCCCCTTCAGCAGAAGGAGCTGAGGGGGTGGAAGCTCTTCACTGACTACACCTCCGTCAGTCTCCACTTCTCATGGCTTGTTTTTCCTTCCGCCTTCCTATATTGTGCTTGCTTCCTGAGCTGTTACTGAAGGTGTGTCAAAGCATCCACCAGCACATGGTGGTTAAAATAAGACTGTGTGTCCGTTCTCATGCCTCTGCTGTTCGTGCTGTTACAGATGGCTTCAAATGGTTGAGCTTGATTTAAGGGGGGGGGGGAAGAGAATTTTGCAATGCATTCGAGTAGGGAATTTGGAATATATTCCACGGCTTCTCTTGTTCAGGAAAGCTGAAGTCTGAGAAACAAAATCTGCGCTTTTTGAATGAGCAGCTTAAATACAGGAGGGGATTTATGTTGAAGACAGGTCTAGTTTTTACAGTAACACTTCTTTTTTTGTCTTTTTTAACAGGAGACAAAGATGAGCAATACACTATTCAAAATCAGAAATCTAAAGGAATTGACACTTTACTGTTTTAGAATTCAAGTCGAATTGTTGGCATATCCAGAATTCCAGTTACTTGGACTGCAGAGTGTCCCAGAGTGTTACAGAACTACAATCAGTGGTATAAATTGAATTTTATTATATTTTCTATGTATTGGGATGAGTGTAACATGAGCCTTAGCTCATGTAACTGTTAGTCTTATCTTGTGTTAACATACCTGGGTATATACCAAGGGTATATTTAGATTAGATATTATGAAGAAATTCTTCCCTGTGAGGGTGGTGAGGCACTGGCACAGGTTGCCCAGAGAAGCTGTGGCTGCCCCATCCCTGGCAGTGCTCAAGGCCGGGCTGGATGTGGCTTTGAGCAACCTGGGCTAGTGGAAGGTGTCCCTGCCCCTGGCAGGGGGTTGGAACTGGATGAGCTTTAAGGTATGTTCCAACCCAAACCAGTCTGTGTTTCTGTGATTTGTCAGGAGTGCTATGACAGCACCACTGATAGTAGTTCACAGTTGTCATTAATGGCGAAAGAATGAGGAATTATTCAGTTGGTAATTAAGAGTTTTGGTTATGCTCTTCCCCATGTCCTTCTCCTTTGTAAATACTGCTGTGGGTATTACTTGCTACAAATATGCAAAGAAAGAAAATACAAATACTTGGTCTTCAGGGTAAGCCATTGATAAAGGAGATGGTGTTGCTCTTGCAAATCCTCTCCCTCAGCCACTGCCTGCTGCAGGACAGGAACATCCAGCTCCCCTTTGACCTGCTTTCTTCTCTGACAACATGCTGAGTGCCATGTTTTTGTGGGAGATAAGTGAGAGGGGGAGTGCACATGCAAGATAATGGAGCTTGTTCCTCTCTTGACTCCCTCTGTGTGACCACCAGTGCCAGCACAGCCCATCTTTAGAATGCTTTTGAAGGCACTGGAGTACATGTAGGTGCAGTTTCTGAAGCCCCACAGGAGCTGACCTCCTGAGTAATACTGATCACGTACTTGATCACGAGCCCCAGAGCTGCAATGTTGGAGTGTCTGATGCTCCCTTGGCTTGAAAAGAGGTGCGTATTTTGAAAGAGAAACCTCTGGCAATAATGGCCCTTGCTGACAGCTTGAGGGTGGAAGGACTGACTGTGCTCCCTGCCTGCCCTCTGACAGCCACCAGTGATTCCTCCAGCCCTGCCTTTGCCCTGCTGGTGCGTCAAGCAGGAGCTTGCCTTAGGCTGAGCTGGTGACTGCCACATGGAATCGCTAACCAAGCTACTTCTGAACATATATATGTACTTTATATATGTACTTTGATTACCAAGTATAGTAAATTTCAGCTTGCTGTGTATTCTTTTCCATTTGTATAAATATGAACCTGCCATATGTATATTTGTTTTGGTTTTTCTCTTTTTCAGAGGCAAGCAGAGCTATCTATATTGTACTGGTGTTTCTGTCGGTGTTACTTTCTGTAAATCTGGTAGCAGTTGGTTTGTTATTTCTGTGGAGATACCACAAAAAACTTAAATATTGGTCTCAGCCACCTTTACAAATCCCACCACACTTTGAAGAGGTATGTGAAGATGTTTTATATTTCTCTCCCCTGTAAAAGACTGCGATGCTCTTGGAGTGAATATGAACAAAGCTGTATGTTGTGTAATGGAAACAAATGTAAACAGTTGACTGACTTAGTGAATAGAAAAAGAAATAGTTGAGTAGAAGAGGAATAAAATGGGGGATCATAAGAAAAGTAATGGTTTGTATTAAGATACAAATGCTACTGTAATCCTGTTATGAAACCAGAGCAAGATTCTCTGTTCCTTAACTACCCCTTGTCTGCCCCTTTCATTCCTTATCTAAGTCATCAAGTCTGAAACAGTTGCTTACTGGAAGCAAAAAGCTGTTGTGTGTTGCAGAACACATACTTGGGACCTGAGTCTCATTAAAAATCAAATATGGAGAAGCAAACACTGATGGTTTTAAGAGCAGGGACTGCCTTGAAGGCTGAGGACTACCTGGGGGGACCTTCTTGGGCTTCTTTTTCTTTCCTCTGTAGGTTTATCAATACTTGGATGGAAAGGTCATCCTGGGACTTTTTCCTCCTTGTAGCTCACACATTTCTGCACTAGCCGGTCCCGTTCATCTTCCTCTTTTTAGTGTTTAAACAGAAAGTAGTGTTTAAGCCAAGTTCCCAATTTCAAAGTCCTTGTTTTGCATAAATTCCATATTTTAAAAAGCCTGTATTTGTTTGCAGGTCTCTAGATCAGTTCTTTGTAGTGATCTGCTTGTCAGAGTAGTCCCTTGTACTATGGTAATTCTGTGATTGTGGAGCTCTGTTTCCAGATTAATACAGATGTGTGAGTGACTGCTTGCAGACCCCCGAGTAAATCATTTTCTCTCTCCCTGCTACCTCAGCTACTACTTGATGGGGCTCAGTGGAGGCATCTGTAGCAGGTATCAAGCAAAGCATAGCTCACATAGGAGGAAAAAAAAAATCTATGTACTGTGTATTTAACCAGTTCAGCATCTCATGCAGAGGGCTCACAAGAACAGTCTGTCATCCTGTGTTCTGGAGTAATTGTAGTCATCTGGAAAATACACAGGATTCTTTATAATGGGTATTTCTAGAAGGGATCAACCAGCCTGGGGCTTCTGCTCTTTAAACGTAGGAGTCTGCTTAAAGGCAGTTTCATATGTACTCCTTGAGATGTTCAGAAAAATCACATGCTTCCTTCTTTTACAGAAGGATTTTAGCTGTGGGGAGCAGTTCTACTGCAGAAACGCCTTCATGGAGCAGAACCAACTTGAGGTTCATTTATGTCTTGAATTTGCTGAAGTGGATGTATTTGAGGTTCCCATATAAAAGGTTTGGGTTTAACACCTGAAAAAACCAGCCTACTGCTCCTTAGCCATTAGCTATGATTACAGAGAAAGTGGTACCTTAACTGATACTAAGGTTAATTCTGTCCTGCAACTGATGTGACTTGAGCTGCCATCCCATCTCAGCCAGATTGTGACACCTCCTACAGTACAGAACAAGCTTTTGAGTAAAACTACAAGCTACGCCTGTCTTTTAACATGAAGGTGTCGGTGTTCCAGACATTTGTTTTATTTTATATCAGGGAATAAAATGTTCAATGGCAGGTGTGGGTTTTGGTTCAGTACCTGAAGATGTCTCCAATTCCCTGTGAAACACATCATCAGCTTAGTGATAAGAAGAATATGTGAGGGTGGCAGGAGCAACAGAAAGCATTTCCTCTGGCCTCCATTCTTTCTAATGTTCCTTTCTTTGATCATGTGTTCCTTGTAAAGCTGATGACTTAATTTGGGAGGAACAGAAGGCAAGTCAAAGCAGAAAGCAGCTACAAGAGAAGCATGTCATTAGAGATTGCTGGTAGCAGTACGTAGATCTGACTTGCCTGGCACTGACCAAACCAGGACTTTGGCTTTCCTTTGCTACATCGGTGCTTTAGACAAGCTGTCACTTGCTAGATTTCTGCTGTTGGAGGATGTGTCTCCAGCAGTGTAATAAAGAAGTGTTTTCTTCTGTGGCTTCTTCTTAATTAGTAGGATTTTGCTTAAACTGACAGGAAAATAATATTAGCCAAAAATTACTGAAAATAGGAAATGCAGGTGGCTTTAACTCGGCTTCAGTGGATGTTTTCATGATTGATTTTCTTTTTCCTCCCACAGAAATAAGGTATTTTAAACTTTCTCCTAGTTCACTGTGAACTCTGGTCTGAAGCAAGTTGGTGGTACCTGTTGTCTGTAACTTGTGTCTGTTAAGTGGCTTATATACCTAAACTGTTGTTTCTGGCTTTTCCCAGTACTTGAAGAACCCGAACACGCCTGGCCTAGAGGCGCTGCACAATGATGCTGAGGATGACCCTGACAACTCATCTGTTGTGTTTTGTGGAGAAGGAAGCCAGGCCCATGGCGGCGGTTTGGCTGGTCAGGCTCATTCACGCAGCATCTCCAACGACAGTGACATAACTTAAGCCCAGCCTGGTACGAGTGCCTGTGCTGAGAGTCTGCAGAAGCTCCTGCCCAGGGGTGGTGCATGTTGCTGCTGGTGGGACACGAGGAGCTCTGGACAAAATGCAGCCACTGATGCATCCTGAGATACTGCTTCCTGGGAATAAGCATGGACCCTGAGCTGTTGTTCAAAGGGCTTCTGCTGCTATACCTGCAGCTATGCTCTGCCAGAGAGACTTAAAAGGCAGAACATAAAAGGGAACACTAAACTGCCAGCAGACAGATGGCTGTGTTAACATCATCACATTTCCCAACCCAAATTGAAATAAATCTTTGATAACCAATGGCACTTTATGGTAGGATGTAGTACAACCTGGACTGTTTCAGTGAGTGAATAATTGCACCAGGAACTACGTTTATAGTGGCTTTTGTTTTGTTGCTTTATTTGTTAAGTCAGTGTTAGTGCTCAGTGTGTATTATATCCACCCCAGTATGCTTTCCTGAATCATTCTAGGATATGCAGGCTTCTGTGACACCTTCTTCCCTCCAGATAAAAATGGCAGTCTAATAAAAAAGAAATAGTACTTTACTCTCCCCAGCAGGAAACTGTAAAGAACAAGTCCCCAGGAAAGACCTTCCTATTCCATTCTCCTAACCCTAGTGAGAAGCATTAATCTTTGCTCCTGCAGTGAGACAGCTGCTCTTCGCAGCAAAACAAACTTTAAATACTCTTGCTTAGAATTTATAACACTAAAACCTCTTGTTGCCTATCAATCAGCTTAGTTCTACAAATGAGAAGTAGACTGAGGGTTCTGGTTTGAGTGCCTTAAAGCAAACAACTGAGAAGTTAAGCCTCACATCAGTCCTATGGGGCCTGGAAGGTGTCTAATAAAGCACAAATGAACCACCTCTGTACTAAAAAGATTGGTTTTATTTGTCTGTTTTTTTCCTGGGTTTGATACAAGATGTTAAAAGAACGAACTTGTTCATTTGCAAATGACTTGTTCGTCTGTTCGTGACCTTGGGACTGTGTGAGGTGGCGGCTACCTGTGGTAGTGCTGTTCTGCCCCCTCCAGGAATGCCGAAGTTCAGCATGAAATACCAGTACCATTTTCCCAAAAGCTTTGTCGGGTTATTTCCTCCTAGAACTGATCTTACCCCTTGTGCTGAGGCAGCATGCTCAGACAGCACACTTACTTTACTTAGTCATACATCAAGGCTGGTGAGACATTTCCAGTCAGCCAGAAGCTGCACAATGCCTGCTTTTAAGTTCATCCACAGCCTTTTCCATACTGTGCTGTAAATAAATGAAGACCCACAGGCTCACAAAGGAACAACTTAACTGCATTACAGAGAACATACACAAATAAGGGCGCAGTTAGAATACCTGCTGTGACTAGCAATACAGCATATGACTTCCTGGGCAAGCCCTACGCTAGACTTCTGTTAGAGAAAGTTGTTACTGAAGAATTTTACAGTTACACAATCCGGCCAAAGCTAAAAACCTTTAGTTAGGAGTAACTCAAGCGTTATTTATCTTCACAACTGCCAATGGTGGTGGGCTAAGGCACAACTTAAAAGTGAACTGTCCCTAGCCACCTTGGCCTGTGCTGGAACTGCCTGGGGTGTATAGAAGCAGACCTCAGACACTTGTAAAGTTCTTGTACGACACCCGCTTTCAGCTTAGGCTACCACAAAAGACAAATGCTCAAAGCTGTCTCTGTTCTCCTCCTAGCAGCTGTATGGAGAGCATGAACATTCCAGTCAAAAGCGATGACTGACTTGTTGAGAAATACTTGCTAGAAAGCAGACTTCTGGTAGAAAATGAGGTAACCTCAAAGAAGCTCCTGCGCTGTTCTAAGGAAAACTTGGTTTTTAAGCAGGAACTTGCATTAAAGCATGCTGTAAGAGCCTTCAGGGGTCAAACAGCCTGTGCTGTTCAAGTGGCCAGTGCAAGATCCTGCAACTGAGATTAGTTACAGGCCACACCGGTTTCTCACTTAGGAAAAAAAAGCAACATGGCCAAGCTCCTCAGCAAGAAATGACAGCCCTAAACCAACAAACCTTGGGTTTTACTTATTACCTGGAGTACGACTTGCTCAAAGACCAGTACTACTGGACTACTTATGAGTGCTCCTGCTCAATTCACTAGTTTGAGAACATAAGATAAAGTTTATTGCCGTTTTCTGAAATGACAACCAAACAGAGAACTTGTGTACACAGCTCTGATAAACAGCAGTGAATCTACTGCAATTCACTGCAGGACGGTGAAGCTGGGGTGAAGTTGGTCTGGCCAGTAGCACAATTTCAGCCGCAGTATTTGCTTCATATTCTGTCCACTGGAGAGGTTCCCCCAAGGGAGCAATTAATGATGAACAGGATACAGTAACCATGCACAGAAGGTATGCTCTGCAGTTTTAATAGCATTTGGTCAGCAGTCTTGATAGATGGAGCATCATAAAAGCTCTTCGACACCAAGTAGATTCAAATGCTTTAAAAACCACACTGAACTCATGAAGTCACCAAGAGCCAGATGAATATACAAGATCAGGCCGAAGTTCTAAAGCATAACTGTTCTCCCTTTCTGTATACTCCAGCTAGAAGAAACTGGATTTCAACAATGGAATTATTCCCATAAAGTGCCCAGCAAATTTAGGAGATAAATACATTTTAACCGGAGCAAATGGCTGTCCTAAAACTGGCAATTATTTCAAGGTAAGACTCTCAGCACTAAATACATCGACTATATCCCCACTCAAAATGATTGCCTGTTAAACAGAAAAGGTAATGGACAGCAGGGTAACTGTTCATTTATCAGCAAAAAGCTTCCCCTGAAGAAAATTCTGCTAGCATAACTTTAAAGACGCTAGTCCGACTCACATAGTCTTTAAGTAGGACTGGCATCAGGGTGGTGGTTTTTATTCCAATACCAGTAAATACATTAAATACTAATTTGTATTTATTACACAAAACAGCATGAAATTAATTCCCAGGGCTGTGGTGCTACCAAATGTTGTTTGTGCTATAGCAATCAGAAGTCAAGAACATTTTCATTTGCCATGCGGAACCTGCTTGATGGAGGGCCTGGTTTAAAAATTCATAACCTTTTACAAAAAAATAGCTACTTTGTATTTTTCTGAACAGTTATATAAAATTCTTAAAATCAGCTTTTATCTCAGCATACAACAGAATTTCCTCTCATTAAAAGCAGGCTCAGCTGTGTCACTTCCATGCGCTGGCTACTCCTTCACATTACACCCGCAGCCCTTGCAGAATTGGCTTTGAGCTCCCCCATACATAAAAGTAATCACCCCTTTCACAGGGTACAGCCTTTATCCTGCTTGTTCACTAATGGTTCCCCTGAAGTCTCTAACACACATGAAGGTGTGGAAGATCAAGCCTCAGGGGTTGACAGAAACCCCTGTATCTGAATAAATAAGCCTGAAGGTTTCAGAAGGAAAGCCTGATGTTCCCTTTTTAAGATATATACAGTCATATGTACATATTCACATATCTGTCCTGTGAAAAGAGGGAGCTTATTACAGAAACTGTAATTTGCCTCAGTTCATTCAATTTAGAAAGCAAACCAAGAACAAATAAATGTAAATATATCTACATACATAGTACGACATAGCAACTGTGGAATAGAAATGCCATAGGCAGTAACTCATGCCCATAACTCTTCTGTTCTTCCAAACTTGTAGATCAGGGTACTAAAGGGAAAAAAAAAATAAAAATCACAAATACATAAGGTTGGAAAGTAATTTTAATAGTATCCTTAGACTCTTACACCATCTACACTGCAAATCAACATCCCCCCCGTAACCCTGACTTTTATTCATCTTGGTATCTGGGGTTTGTACTTTTACTCCATTTACTATGCCTTGCTAAAACTATAAGACGCAGCTGAAGAAACTGCTCCAATGAAGAACAGTAAAAGCAGCTGCTCTTCTGAAGGAAAAAAAGCCAAATTTAATTGATTCTAGGACCAATCCAGAATGTTACAGAGCAGCAACTCGCATCCTGGCATCTGCCAATCAGCTGAACCTAATGCATTATGCCAGGATAAAACATAACCTATTACATTTTTAGGAGCGAGTCAGAAAATACCCTGGGGTAGGTAAGCAAGATCCAAATTACATTTAGACTTCCAAAATTCCTTTTATAAGGTTGGATGCAATTACATATTGTCATAAATTAAAAACAAAGACCGCTGAGGGAACAAAGCCAAGCATGATTTCCTGATTGTTTCTTATACCATGAATTATTTCCCCTTATAGCCAAAGAGGTGGCAGAGTCACACTAAATCATAAGAGAATGAAGAGGGAGGTAAATGAGAACTACTGACCCTGAGAACAACAGTAACAAGTGATAGACACCTGGTCAATTAACCAGAGAACAACTAATACACAACGTTAAGTAAAAAACACTGGTGGGGTAACAACAAGGGCAGAAGCACGAGTCCTGACGGATACATGCAGTTCAAGGGATAAAAAAAAAAGCTTTTTTCTTTTTTTTTTTACTAAAAAGACTGTCATTTTGCAAGTTTGAGAAGACAAAAGGAAACAAATAAACCTAAAATACTTCTAGGTACAAAGTACACACTTTCAGAAGCAAAAAGCAGCTTCAGAAGTAAGTTCATCAAACTACTGAAATAAGACTAGAAGATTTCAGGCATGGTGAAACAATTCTCCAAAGCCTGCCTTCGGCACTATCCCATTTAAACTGTGTGCAAGACTACAAAAGAGGTTTGGGAACTGCTGTTTTCTGCCAGAACACAACTGGTTTTCCAAACAGGGAAGCAAAGTGGAGTCAATCTAACTCGCCGCAAGACATTTGGTATGGTACTAAAAGAAAACTGTTAGCACCGTAATTCAAGTGGATAAGAGCTTGCAAAAGAACTTCGGCAGTGACTGATCTTGGAACTTACACTATTTAATGCTTTGTCTTTTATTAAATAATAAAATCCATGGATTAGAGAGTACAGGATATAAAAAGAGTTATTACAGATATAAATATTTCCGAAGTGCCACACACTATACTTACTGATACTAAGCCAAATAAAAGAAATTGATTTAAGTGTAATATTACAAAACATACCATCATACTCTTAGGAAAAAAATCTATAAAATCACTCTTAGTAACTGAAAGCTCATGCAGCAGAAACAAATTTAGGTGTATCGGTTGTCAGATGCCATTGGCATGAAACAATCAGGAAAAGGGCAATATGATCTCCCACCTAGTTCTGTTAGGATGTATGGCATGGTATTTGTAGTACAGAGATTAAAGCATTCTCGCCATTATCCTGACACTGACAGCATCTCATCTAGAATACTGTCTATATCCTTGGTCAGGCACATTATAGATCAAGAGCAAGCTGGACTAACAGGAACTTGAAGGAAATGAAGAGCCTCTCATGGGCTGAGAAGGGGCAAACAGAAACAGTGGTTCTGAGCACTGGAGCTAAGGGAGTAGAAAAAAGTAGCAGAGAAAAAAAAATGCAGCTTTTAAGAAACAGTTTGATCAGTTTATACACTGAATAATTTCACATCAGTTCTGTGTAATTATGTTGGTTTACCCAAGTGACCCAAGAGGTCCCTTTGGTTTACATGCCACCCCCGTCATGTTAAGGTCAGGGTGGGTAATGAACCGACAGACAGAGGGTCCTGCATTAAGAGCAGCAAACTCCACAATGTGTCAGGTCCAAGCCCAGAGTCAGCCTCCAGCTTTCAGAACTCATTTTCCAGGAGTACTAATGTCCATGGAAGCGGGTTAGGTCAGATACCCCTTGGAAGGAGTGATATGTGCCCAGGTAACTTACCTGAAAAATATCAACGCGTTCTGGAAAAACACTGCTAATCCAGGGTAAACATTAGTGTCTGCAAAGTCAGGAACAGAGGAAACAGTAAATTCTTTTGTACTGGAAGGTGTATTTAGATAGCTGCTCATAGCATCACTCTGACTACAAAACTAGATGGTATGGCTCTGACAAGAGCTCACCACGCACTTCCATTCTTCTGGATTTTCTGCCTTTTGGCTGACAGTAAAAGTACTTCTCTATATGTGAAAATAAACAAACTTACTCTGTGTTACATATGCTCCAAAAAGAATCCACATTGAAGCAATAAGTGAACCAAACATCAGCATAAAGCCAATGAAGAGCCAGACACGAGCACCTGCAGGAAATATTAAAACCCCTGAGAATTACATAGGTTATTATCTGTAGCAAGAGACAATCCAAGGTACTACTCTGCTATGACATATTATCTTGCTGGAGGCACAAAGGGGAAGTGTTAAACCCTGTATCAAGGACAAGATAAACCAAAATTAGCCTTCTCTAGTAGAACACATAGTAGCTGGATTCCCTTTATTTTAGTGAGGTAGACACAACTATCAGAAATTTCTTCTCACCTGTAGGCAATGCCTGTAACATCATTTAACACAACTTGGAATGGACTAATGACAACGTACTTTGCCAAAGCTATACTGTTTCTAAGGAAAAGATGGCATTCCAATGGGGTATGTAAAACAAACACTTCCTGTGCTTACTTCAGAGATATTTTCAGATGGGCAATGTCTGAAAATACCGACCATAGCTAGGCATTACTGCCTGAAAAAGGAAGATGATGCCATGGAAAATAATCAACCTGCTCACTTGTGGGAAAGGAAAAATACTTCTAGGCAAATATTCTCTCAAGCTGACTTAGGAATGACATGCAAAAAAAGCATCATATGCCAGTTCAAAGAAATCAGTAAATCCTACCAGATTTCTGGTCTGGCATTCTACAACTCACATGAAAACAGATGCTGGGATCCACATGGGAAATAGTAAGGGAATTAGGAATGAAAGCAGAGGGAGGACAGCAAGTCCACAGACACTACACAGTAGGTGACATACAAAGGAAACAGAATGTTTACAATACATTCTAAAATAAGACATTCTTACAGAATGTCTGCTCCATAGCCTGCCACAAAGCAGAGATTTATTTCTCCTAGCAGCTATACAGAATTTGCAGAGGAAACTTTAGGTATTTGAGATACACAGAAGTTGAATTTTTCTAAGTTTAGCTTTCTAACAATGACAGTACTTATCTCCAAGTGTTAATTTTGTAAAGAAATGAACTTCTGTGAAGTTCTCTCCTACTCCTTAACTTCTATGAGTTCTTTAAACACCGATTAGAAAAAAAACACCAACACCTAAGTAATCAGTTTTTCAACTTAGCATGACTTTTAGAGTTGTTTTACCTGTTCTTCCTAAACATCCATCACTGTAGCTGTCTCCTCTCACCTGTGCATTTGATACAGCATTTATCCTAGGAACAAAGAAAGTGTATACACTTCAGATTATTAGAAAATCGATTTAAAGCTGTAAGTAAAAAGCTGGCTTTTTTTAAGATGCAACAGATTCTGGGAAAATGATTTGTTGTTCTCTGTAGTCACGTATTATTCCTTAACTGAAGGATTCCAACTGTATTTCAAGCAAACCCTGTATTTGTTCCTAAGTTTTACATCAATTTTTATATTAACAAACAGGTAAGATGACAGAATCGCCCTTTTTAGTGACTGTAATACTCCTGGTCACTTTCTGGCTGTTCAAGTTTTAAAACTATCTAAAGCCACTTCACAGGAATAATAACAGTCAATAACAGAGTGCTCTCATGATTCTGATGTAAGTTGCTTTCCTTCACAATGAATACCATAAGTTTTCAAGTGAGAGACACCCTTTAAGGAGGGACAATACATTTTCTTAAAGCAAGTTAAATGCTGAGGGAAAAAAAAACCAAAACACGAGAAACTTTCAGACCCCAAGTGTTAAGAAGGTCTTGCATACTCAAATGCGTCTTTTTCTCACCATCACTCCAGGATTCGATAAAAGCTATTACTTCAAGCTTGCCACATTTACATTTTTATAACAACACTAGCTGTAATACTACCTCTCCCATTTGAGGAAGTTTTGGGCCAGAGAAAGCTGTAAAAATTATTTAAAATTAGGGGCAAATGCAGTCAAATGTTTTATATTGAAGTAAGCAACTGGGACAGCATTACATAATCTCTGATCTAGGAATCTAAACACTTATTATAGAAAGCCACTCCATAAGGTCTGCTTTCTTACGTTCAGCTGAAGTGCACAGGAAAAGGAGGTGACCCTAAACAGATGGGGGTGCAGACAGAACAATGAATAAACAGACCATAATCAGAAACAAAGGCCAGAGGTAAAATAAAAAAGGCCTTTACACCGCCATGCAAAAAGGTACAAGATTACTCATAAGTCATTTACAGCCAAGTGATTCAAAGTTTTATCATATACCACATTGTCTAGTAAAAAATGTGTTTAACAGCTCATGTTTATAAGAACTCCCTTTCTACACACTTACATGAAAAAAGCTAGCGTTGAAAACACCCCACAAGTATGGAACGCATGGTTCATTTGTTCTGGCTTAGGGTAAACTACTGCAGCATCTATCATTATCCACCAGCCTGTGAAAAACTAGAAATAAGATAGATCAGTATCACAAGGCTGAAAGGGTACAGAGACACACTGAGAAAACATGGCAAAGGTTCACGCATACCATTGGCTTAACTATCGTTCAACAAGTACAAACTACTCTAGCAAGTTATTAGCTTTATGATGGACTCTAAATCTGTTTGATATGCAGTTTCTACATAAAACTTACCATCTTCAGAGAAGCATTTGGTCACATTTGCTACTCAAATTAAGTATCACTGTTTGTTTTAACTCCCTGAACAGCTTTAAAAACAGTAATTCAAACTATAAACACATGAGATGCAAACCATATGTAACACTGGTGTTCTAACATACGGAATTATGCAAAAAATGCAGTAGGAATGTCAATCTGCACTAAGGAAGAGTGCAGAAATGGTACATCATTATCAGACAAAATGCAAAGTTATGAGACTTGTAAAAAGGCTTTTCAATAATTGCACTTAAAAAAGATATTAAAGACATACATGGGACTGACACGGAGTTAACAGTGGAACTGCACAAAACTTGAAACAAAAATGTAACTGTTTGTCATAGTTCCAAATTTGTCCACACAGATTTCATTCGTCTCCTCTCAAAACTTACCAATACACCAGCAACTATTGAAGCAATAGTATTTCTTCTTTCACTCCAGTCAATACACTCACATTCTGGCCAGCGGAAGTTGTCTAGGAATCCTGCCATCTCTCAAAGATCAGATTGCTCTTCTTATTCTGTACTTACACATTAATTTTTCCATTAACAGCTTTGTTCTCAAGACCTGAAACACAGCCAAAGATGCATTTAATACGAAGCAGCAAAACCTTGAGATGTTTGACAACTCTCATGAGCAATTTCTGCAATACCTGGGTTGGTTGTTTTTACAGAATTAAGTATCCCGTTTTCCTCCATGGATTCTATATTGAGCTACATTTAAAAAAACCAAAACAACCTACCCTACAAACAGAATTGCAAGTGAAGATCATCACACAACACAAAAAATTAGGCATTATGTATATATATATCATCATATTTGAAATGGAAAAGAAATTTAATAGAATACACTGCTCAAATTAAACACAAGAACAAATGCAAGCAAAGAAAAATAGCAAAACAGCAACTATTTCAATCTAAGTTTCATCTTCAAACCATAATGTTGTCCCTGGCATTGTAAGTTCAAAACAGTAAGTACATACAACAGGGCTTCCTATGTAGACCAGAAAATGATCTTTGAATCAGGCCACGGAACCTTGTGTAAGATACCCGTATTTTCAGTCTCCAAATCAGATAGCTAATACAGTGCTCTTCTGACAAAGGGAAAAAGGGATCAATGCAGCGAATCAACAAATACCTAGGATAAAGAATGTCCCACTTCACAGAGGCAGTATCACACAGAACTTTAAATGCAGGAAGAGAGAAGCACAGTTAATTATAGAATAGAATAGAATAGAATAGAATAGAATAGAATAGAATCATAGAATAGTTAGGGTTGGAAAGGACCTTAAGATCATCAAGTTCCAACCCCCCCTGCCATGGGCAGGGACACCTCGCCCTAAACCATATTACCCAAGGCCTCATCCAACCTGGCCTTGAACACTGCCAGGGATGGAGCATTCACAACCTCCCTGGACAACCCATTCCAGTGCCTCACCACCCTAACAGGAAAAAAATTCCTCCTTATATCCAATCTAAACTTCCTCTGTTGAAGTTTTAACCCGTTACCCCTGTTCTGTCACTACAGTCCCTAATGAAGAGTCCACCCCCAGCATCCCTATAGCCCCCCTTCAGATACTGGAAGGCTGCTATGAGGTCTCCACGCAGCCTTCTCTTCTCCAGGTTGAACAGCCCCAACTTTCTCAGCCGATCTTCATATGGGAGGTGCTCCAGTCCCCTATCATTCTCGTGGCCCTCCTCTGGACTTGTTCCAACAGATTCGTGTTACAAAGTGCCTGAAATAAGACAGTTCTCAATTTGGTGAGACAGCAGCTGTAAAAGATTCTGCATTGCACTGTGTCTGTTCTCACACTGCAAGATAATTGACACATATAGCTTGTCAGAAATTAAGAGTATTTTGGTTTTCTATTCAGTATTTGCATTTATCTAATTATTTATTAGTGACTCACAGCCACTCTTAATGCTGTTCTGTTTTATATTGTCAGCTTCCGTGTTTTTCCAACCTGCCGTAAGTAATTTCAAGATACTTGTTAGAGGCTAACAGACACATGCCCTTTATGATTATGTTACAGGACAGACTGATGTAGAACTTTTTTCTCATTAATAATTACAAGTCTACACCAAGAAGTGAAATAAATACATAGAGTTTGCCTGTGTCGTGGGTTAAGCCCAGCTAGCAACTAAGTACCACCTCCTCCCTCCCTCCCTCCAGTGGGATGGGAAAGAGAATCAGAAAAAAGGTAAAACCTGGAGTTCAGATATGAACAGTTTAAAATAAAAGTAAAATGTAGTAATACTACTACCAGTAGTGAATAAAGAGAGGAAGGAAAAACAAGTGATGTACAGTACAATTGCTCACCTCCGGCTGACTGATGCTCAGCCCGTTCCCAAGAAGCAACTGGCACCCCCAGCCAACTCCCCCCAGTTTATATACTGGGCATGACATGCTGTGGTATGGAATACCCCTTTGGCTAGTTTTGGTGAGGTGTCCTGTTTCTGCTCCCTCCTAGCTTCCTGTGCCCCTCCTCACTGGCAGAGCATGAAACTGGAAAGTCCTTGATCAGGGCAAGTGCTACTCAGCAACAATTAAAACATCAGTGTGTTATCAGCACTGTTCTCATACTAAAGCCAAAACACAGCACTGCACCAGCTACTAGGAAGAAAATTAACTCTATCTCAGCCAAAAGCAGGGCAGCTTACACTGCAAACACAGGCCACCTCCTGTTAATAAGATTAAAAACTTTGTCCTGCTAAATCTAGTCCCAGAAATCCATCCATAATTATGATGCTTCCTTAAAGCATTAAAATCAACCACTCAATTCCAAAATCACTTTTACTTTTGTACAGTACCTGGGCTCAACCATGTGTTTATTTTCTCAGACTATACTTTTCCCTAGCAATTTTCAGATCCCTGTTCCTCCTATGACTTTCACACACAACTGCCCCACTGTGCTGCTCCAGATTTACGACTGCTCCTACAGCCCTCCCTTCTCTTCCACTCTTAAAATGGCTCCATCTGTACTTTCTTGTTCCTCTTCAAATGTGAATGTGTCTCTTCCTCATCCTGCAGTAATCCCTCCTTTCCCTGCCAGCTCATGGTTTCCACTGTTGTCACCACCACATGGTGCAGCTGGCCACAGGTAGAAGTAAATACACAAGCATGCTGTGCTATTTCTTCTCCCCACTGGACACAATGATGGTTATGTCAAACCTACAGAAGTCATTACCTTGACTGTAAATACACTTTCAGGCATCTTCAGAGTAATTGAAGCTGTATTTCTTCAAAGCTCTATTTTCCTTTGGATTTTTTTCCCATAAAGGACCATATAAATAGTATTAACAGCTAAATGTAATCATCTCCTTCAAAGAGAACATAAAGTACTGTAATTCAGAAAGAGGGTGAAAAAAAAGACTGGAAAAATATTTCAGATATGTCAAAAAGAAATCATTTTTCACCCTCTCCGTGGATGCCCCCAGAGGTACCTCAACAGGCTGGAGAAATGTGCTGACAGGAACCATGTGAAGTTCAGCATGGGGAAGTGCCAAGTCTTGCACCCAAACCACCCCATTTGCCAGTACATGCTGGGGGCCACCCTGCTAGAAAGCAGCTTGGCAGAAAAGGACCTGGGGGTCCTGGCTGACACCAAGTTGAACCAGAGCCAACAATGTGCCTTATAGCAACGAGATGAATGGTATCCTGAGCTGCATTAGGCACTGCCAGCAGGTGGAGGGAGCTGATCCTTCCCCTCTGCTCAGCACTGATGAGGCCACAGCTGAAGTGCTGTGTCCAGTTCCGGGCTCCCAGTACAAAAGAGACATGGAAGTGCTGGAGAGAGTTCAACAAAGGGCCACAGAGATGATAAAGGGACTGGAGCATTTCTCCTATGAGGAAAGGGCTGGGAAAGCTAGGACTGTTCTGCCTGGAGAAGGCTCAGAGGGATTTTATCCATGTCCATGAACACCTAAAGGAAGGGCTCTCTTCAGTGGTGCCCAGTGGTGGGACCAGGGGTACGTGGCACAAACTGAAACACGGGAAATTCACTCTGAACATCAGGAAACACTGTCTGTCTGTGGGGGTGACTGAGCACTGGCACAGGCTGCACAGCGAGGTTGTGGAATCCCCATCCTTGGAGATACTCAAAAGCTTTCTGGACACAGTCCTGGGCAACTGACTCAGGGTGGCCCTGCTTGACAGGGCTGGTGGACAAGATGCCCTCCTGAGCTGCCTTCCAACCTCAACCTTCCTGTGACACTGAACTAGCCTGTTAAATTACTGGATGACTTAATGAAAGAAACCTTCTTACTTCTACAAAACTGTTCTAGTTCTAAAAGGCTGAAACAAAATGAAAAACAAACCCAAAACCAACAACATTCCCTTTTTTATGATTTAAAGGGGACGTATAATTTTTTTCGTCAGCTAATATAATTAAGTCAACTTCCAAACCAAAAACGAACTAGCATTTATTCTAGCAAAACTCTTTCAACCTTGCAGTCAGCTCCGGGGAGACCTTATTGCAGCCTTTCAATATATAAAAGGTGCTTATGAGAAAATTGAGATTTTTTTTACCAGGGCCTGTACTGACAGGACAAGGAGCAACTGTTTAAAACTGAAAGAAATGGCTTTAGATTAGATTATTAGGAAGAAGTTATTTACTACAGGGGTGGTAAGACACTGGAACAAGTCGCCCAGAGAAGCTGTGGCTGCCCCATCCCTGGCAGTGTTCAAGGCCAGGCTGGAGAGGGCTTTGAGCAACCTGGTCTAGTGGAAGGTGTCCTTACCTAGGTGATCTTAGGATTCTTTTGAACTCAAACCAGTCTATGACTCTATGGTGATGTTCCATATATATGTAGTTCTCAACACCCACAGAAAAAAAAAGGAAAAAAATAACCTATATTTCAACTGTGAAAGGCCAGTGACATATTGAAGCTGAGTCTCCACCAAGACCACAAGAGCTAGGCTAAAGTTTATCCTCATATGGGTTTATATGGATACATGCACAGGTTTTAGCCCAATTATATCTTACTACACAGACAGAAAACCCTGATGAAGACAGACACTTTCAGCTGGAGTTTCTTACCTGAATAAAGCACAAAACTCGCTCTCTTGTTTCAACTTTTACACACACATACTTCACGGCAAGGGAACAGGTAAAACCCCTGACATTAGCTGTCCTTCAACGCCCTTCCTACAATCTGTCTCCTCCCCTTTTCCAAGGGCAGACAGGTTCTCCCACTGTTCTCAGGAAGCATGTCTCACTTATGTTGAATAAACAGAAATACAAGAACACTTGAAGAACAAACTGGTGACTGAAGACAGCTATACTCACTGCAAAAATAACACACTGTGGATACTAGTGCTCAGGTTAAAACAACTACTATATTATTAAGGCAAATGAAGTTAAATGAAAACACAAGAACTGGAAGTATGTCTCTCTCTCCCAGAATGAATAGATACCACTTGAACAAAATATTAAAAGCAGCTGCAAGAAAATACAAAAAGTCTGCTAGAAACAGACTGTCTTAAGCTGCACAAAGGCCCTGAAAACCCATCAGGTTAGTGAAGAAAGGAACCTCCTAAGAAAAAAAGTAAAAAATAGAGTGAAGAGA